GAGAGAGAGAGAGAGAGAGAGAGAGAGAGAGAGAGAGAGAGAGAGAGAGAGAGAGAGAGAGAACCTACCCCTTCAACAGATGGCACGCATGTCTTGACCGCGTGCACGTTTGTTTTTTTTTTTTCAAGTTCAATTTTTTTTGTTTTTTTTGAGACAGGCACACCATATGGCCCATGCTAGTTTCGGCTCGTGCCACTACCGATGGCAGAGTCTTGGCTGCACTCTCTCTCTGACACACGCGCGTGCACACACACACACACATTGGCATACTTCGTCGTGTCTGTGTCTGTGTCTGTGTGAGAGACACACACACACACACACACACACACACACACACAGAGAGAGAGAGAGAGAGAGAGAGAGAGAGAGAGAGAGAGAGAGAGAGAGAGAGAGAGAGAGAGCGTCCCCAAAGGGCCTCGCTCCACTACATTCTACATGCATGAAAGACAAAAATTATGACGCTGTATCTTTCCTTGTCATGCCGGAAGATTCACTCGTCTTTTGCACATTTTCGATAATGAATCTTCCGCTAGAGCGTTGGAAGATACACAACTTTTTTTTTTTTTTTGTCATTTGCGAGGCTTGTGCTCCATGAGCCCCTTTTGGGCCTGTCAAGTATCACGTTGGCCGCCCTAAGTGAAGGCAGGCACGACGAGGGCCTAAGGGCCCCTATTTCGGTCACCACGCAACTCAAGGAAATTCAGGTAGTTGCGTAGCGCCAGTTGGTTCAGGCCCTGGGCCGCGTGTGTGAATGTATGGAAAGCAGGCCCTGGGCTGGATACGGGTACTGGGCCAAACACAGGCCAAGGCAGTTGGGTACATGCAACCACCTCATGCCCAAGGCCTGTTCTCATTCGTGCTGGGCCTCAGGCTACCGGGGCCTACTGGAAGCTTCCTGGGACTGAACACAGGCAGGCCACTTCGATATAGCAAAGGGCCTGCCTCCACATTCGTGATTCGGGTGCTGGTTGCATGCTGCGCAAGCGCTGCTGCGCTATTTGTTGGCCAGCGCTCAGGCGCTCACGGGCGAGCAGGGATGGAGCAGGCAGCCATAGCCGAGCTGCGCTGCTGTAAGCTGGGTGTGGCGCAGGGTGGTCCTTGGGTGCAAGTGACATCTGTGTGTTGGGGAACGAGGTTGTGAGTGAGGCGAGAGACATACCTGGTGCTGGAAGCGTGCGACATTGGTCGCTATATGCTCGTACTTCGGGAAAGTTGTTGATGTCATCATTTGGCATTGTAGCCTAGGCTAGATAGGATCTGCCATCACTAGTCTAGGCCCCGAGCGCCAGATAGGATAAAATTGGTTCTTCATTGATGATGATGATGATGAGACTTTACCAGCATTGTCAATTATGAGCTCTTGGTGTCTTCTTATTTGGTGAAACTCATGATGCGATTCTGTTGTTGGTTAGAGGTCACGACTATCTGGTCTTGTGTATATGATGTTGTGTGATTGCTGAAGTTCGCTATTGCTCATCTTTCTTGCAATTTGGTATCGGAGCTGTGGTATGATTGTGCTCATTTGGCGCTTGTCTTCTGCCTAATGCGGTACATACATGCGGTCTGCTTGGTGAGTTGGGTCGTAGGTGGTGTGTAGTGAGGAGGGCGGAGACGAGTGAGTGGCGACCCAGGAGGTGAGGGGAACGCCAGGAAGGCTACAAGGTGTAATGTGGGTCCGGACAATGTGATGATAACTATCTAATGTGCAATTGGTGCTAAGGTGGAACGACGTGTAATGCTGGTTGTGCCGAAGCAATGACTAGTCATCACAATCGGCATCAGGTCATCTGGTGAGATTATCTCTGTGGTTGGGGGCAGCTATTTGAGGTACGTTGCTCTTAACCTTATCTACCCTCTTCGACACTTCTTACCGTGAGGTTGTGTGTTCCTTCTCGAGAGTCCTCTCATTGTGAGGTGTCGAGTTCGCTCAACCTTGAGAGTCGGCAATGTTCACGTGGAGCATCTGGGAGAAGATGGGCGGATCTTTCTAAAGGGCCCTGGACGAAGCACTGGGTCACGATCACCATGCCAACCCACCGGGAGTAGAGCGCGCATGCTTTGTTGCTTGTCCTTTGTTTGACTTGCTGCGCTGTTAGATGGGTACTGAAGGGCAGGCCAGCCCTAAGTGGGAGACGAGAACTGGGCGTCTTAAAAAAAACATCGGCAGGGGAAACCATTGGCTGTGATCGTCGTCCTGTTTGTGACGTAAAATAATTCCTGATGACACTTGGGGGCGGTCGTTAAATTGCCTCTGGATCAACCAATGGTTGTAAGGCTCGCTGCGCGCGAGGATAATCCTGTGCAGGGCTGGCCAGCTCAGCAGATACTCGGGGCACAGGGGTGGGCCGAACACACACTTTTAGACACGCAACGCTCTCCGGATTGCTCAGGGACGCTGACGGCAATTGACATTCAGGGGAACTAAGGGAGGGGTAGATTTCAGGTGATAAGTTTGAGAAAAATTCCATATTGTCCTATCCCCACATGACACCTGACAGACATCATAAGTAGAACAGTCCCTGTTCATTCTGCATTCTGTTCGCGGACTAATCAGACTAAAAATAGTATCGTTCGTAAGAATCTGACTTACCTGTTGGGCCCGAATGTATAGTCTCTGACATAGCCACCAATTAATTAGTTATTTATTTTAAATTGGTCTGCGCATTATCTTGCGGTAGGCATCTAGAGTGCACTAGTGCAGACAGTGTGCAGTGTTGTAGCTTATGAGTGACAGGGAGGACACTGGAGAGGACGACCGGCTCTTGCGTTCACGTAGACGACCGATCGCCCACTTGGCTTTAGGACCTGAGGGCGACCGACATCTGTTCCGCCAGCTCAAAGAGAGGCCGCAGCAGCAGAGGAGGGCTAGAGCAGTGGAGGCTAGCAGGGCGCTGGTAAGCGAAGACGCAACTTCGGAAGCAATGGCTACCTCTGCGCAACAGACTTCTCAGGCAGGTAGTTCAAGAATTGTAGGGTCAACAAGCTCTGCAGAGTTTTTTGGCTTTGTATAGGTCAACAGTTGCGCAAGCTTTGAGTCAGTCCGCTGGCGTTATGGCAAGCCAGCCATTAGTCATGACTCCCGAGGAGGTCGCCATACAGCGAGCAGCTGATCGTGAGGCACAGCTACAACATGCTTTGAGAGAGATTAAGGCAGAGAAAAAAATGATGATTAGAAGAAGAGTCAGGATGCAGCGGAGATAAGCGGACGTTAGTGAGTTAGAGGAGATGGACCCTGAGGAGATGGATGATGATGTGAGGACCATACCGTCGGTCTTGTTAAGTGTAGTTGATATGCAAGATCACTAAATGGAGATCTTACAAGACATCCAACAGAGTCTGGCTGTATTAGTCGGACAGATGCAGGCGACACCGTCACCGTCCGGGCCAGGTGTCTGGCCCGTTGCACATCCTCCTCCTTTTGTCCTACCAGTGACTGGGGTATCCCCATATGTAGCCCCGTCATCGGTTGCTATCGTTTCCCTGGGCATGCCGTTATCAGGAGGGCTCTAAGCAGGTCCTAGTTTGCAGGTTCCTGTACAGCCAGTGTATTCCCAACCTCCGTTGCAGATTGCAGTTACAATGCAACCTGCTGTTTCGCAGCCTGTACAACCGCAGGGTACACAGCCCCTGCAGCCAGTGCAGCCTCCTGTATCACAAGGTCCACAGCCCAGTGGGATGCAGGGACCGAGACAAACTCAGTGGGTACCAAAGACGGCCATCGCTGCTCCTAAACCCTTTACAGGGGATAAGAGGGGCGAAGACCTCGACACATGGTTGAGGGTAGTGCCGATCTATGTCAAGTGTAAGCTTACCTTGCCGCACGAGGAAGTGCTGGAGGACTTCCTCAAGATGGTGGAAGAAAGGTGGCATGATCCTCAGGAGGCCCAAAGGCCACTGATGCGATCTTGACACTGCACAGGAGGCAGTTTAAGTTAATAAGGGAGGCCACCGACGCTGTAGAGCGTCTGATCTGTGTCCCTGGGGTGCGCTATGACCCCCAGGTTTTACTCACCTCTTACCTGAGATGCTTTTCTATGCCTCTCATGAATCAGTTGGTAGGTGAGGCCAACATCAACGTTCACAACTTCCCCTCGTTTAGCAAGAAGGCCCTAGACCTTGAGGCGAAGATAGGGCATGGGCAGGCACCCACTACGGATGGTAGGAAGAAATCACTGCCTCCCAACTGGAAGGCCAAGGGTCACATAATGTTTGTCGATAACGATGGTTCAACCATCAAGTTAGACGACAACTTCCAGGAGGGAGTAGGTTCAGAGGCTGGCAGTATTGAAGCTTCAGGGGGTGGAGTTGTCGTTGTCGTAGCTCAAAAAGGTAAGGCGGCCGGTAGACGTCGTGGAGGCTCCCGGTCTAGGAGTCAAGTTGACCCCAATGCTCCTCCATGGATGTGTGGAGAGATCGATATCCCCGACAGGCCTGTATTCGTTGTGGTCAATATGGCCATAACCAATTCAAGTGCCGCAACAAGAAGGTGACCGATAAAATCCCGCCTATGATGGGGTAGGCGTTGGGATCCTCCCATCCCGTTGGTAGCAACGTAGCTAGTACTTCTGGCAGTGCTCCGGGAAACACGTCGGGCCAGTAGGAATAGTATTGTTTCTGCTAGGGTCGAGGTGGTGGATACACCCTCACCATCTCGAGAGATGGCCCAAGCTATTGACTCCAGCGTCGTCCCGCAAACACGTTCAGACCCATCGAGCCTTGGTTCGATGAATGTGTTTGAGTCCTTAGAGGAGCTAGAGGAGGAGTGGTCTAGATCAGACCCGCTAGCTTCTTGGACGGCCCTAGTCGAAGCCCCGAAGGGTGAGATGTTCGTTAGTGAGGTTGTCATTGGCGGCCGCAAGGCCGGGGCCTATTATGACACTTGCTCAACTAGGAACTTTACCAGTCGCGCGTGCGTTGAAAGGCTGCGCTTACAAGGGCAAGTGCAGCGCCTGAGTCGACCTGTGCCAGCAAACAGCGCATGGTAGTCAACGACTACCTCCAGGACGTTGAGTGTAGTTTCTCGTACGCGGGAGGGGAATTGAGACATCGCGTCTCATTCCTAGTGAGTGACAAGCTCCCCATGGATATGTTGTTAGGTATGTACTACCTCTCTGTGGCACAGCCCCAGTTTGACTGGGACCGAAAATTGGTCAAGCACACTTTGCCAGGCGGAGGGACCGCCAGATTGCGTAAGTTCAAAGCTAGTAGTCTGATTGGGTCCCACGGGTGCATGTGTGCGACCGCGTTCTACAATTATTATAAGCAAAATCAGGAGGAGGGTATGTATCTAGTTTATGTCTCTGCTGCAGGCGAGCCGGTGAAAATGTCGCCGGAGGTAGAGGGAGTAGTTGCCAAGTACCCTGATCTATTTGAAGAGCCGACAGGGGTTGTTGAGAGGGAGGTCGTCCACGCGATAGAGATTATCCCAGGGTCTAGCATCCCGAAAGGTAGGATCTATTGGATGTCTCCAGGCGAGCTCGATGAGCTTCGCCGACAGCTCAAGGAAATCGTAGAGAAGGGTTGGTTCCGGCCGAGTGTCTCTCCTTATGGGTCTCCAGTACTATTCGTACCTAAGAAGAAGGAGGGAACACTTAGGATGTGTATTGACTATAGGGGCCTCAATGCCATCACTGTTAAGAACAGAGAGCCCCTACCTCGCATCGACGATTTGCTAGATAGAGTGCAAGGGTGTCGGTACTTCAGTAAGATAGATCTGAAGTCCGGGTACCATCAAATTGCAATCCGGCCTGAGGATCAACACAAAACTGCCTTTCGGACCAGGTGCGGTCTGTACGAGTTTGTGGTGATGCTTTTCGGCCTTTGTAATGCTCCTGGCACCTTTCAGCACGCTATGAATCAGATATTCCATGACTACTTGGATAAGTTTGTCATCGTGTAACTCGATGACATACTTATTTTTAGTAAGGTTGTCGAGGAGCACGTTGCGTACTTGGATAAAGTCCTCAGTCTCCTACGACAGCACAAGTTCAAGATCAACGGTGAGAGGTGCGAGTTTGGCCGCACCCGTGTCTTGTACTTAGGTCATGAGATTTCCGCGGAAGGGTTGAAGCCCGATGACGCGAAGGTGGCCAACATTCGTGATTAGCCGCGTCCTCAGTCTGTGACTGAGATGAGATCTTTCTTAGGGATGACCAGCTACTATCGCAATTTCGTGAAGAACTATAGCATAGTTGCCGCCCCTTTGACTGACCTGACCCGCCTTGACACCTCATGGGAGTGGACTGAGAGATGTGAGGCTGCTTTCAGACATTTGAAGCATGCGTTGACGCATTACGAAGTCTTGAAACTTCTTGATCCTGATAAGCCATTTATAGTAACTACGGATGCTAGCCAATATGGCATAAGCGCCGTACTTGCACAACAGGAGGGGAAAAAGTTGAGGCCAGTTGAGTACATGTCCAAGAAAATGTCGTCTCAGAAGTTGGCTAAGTCCACCTATGAGAAGGAACTCTATGCGGTTTACAAGGCTCTGACCCGTTGGAGGCACTACCTCCTTGGAAGGTTCTTCATCCTCAGGACTGATCATCAAACCCTGAGATGGATGAGAACTCAGCCGGTACTCTCTGATGCTCTCAAGCGTTGGATCGAAGTCATTGAATAGTATAACTTTGAGTCCCAATACATCAAGGGCGAGTACAACAAGGTTGTTGATGCCTTGTCGCGTAGACCTGATTTCTCAGGCGCGCTGATTACTGAGTTCAATCTTGTGGACAATGTTACTCAGTCTTTGGTGGAAGCCTATCACGAGGACCCGTTTATGGCCGAGATCATACGCAAACTCAAGGCTTCTGCCGAGTTTGAGTTGGTCAACGGTCTGCTGTTCCTTGAGAAGGCAGGGAATAAACGATTGTGTGTGCCTAATAGGGAGTTTTTGCATAGTTTATTTTTAGGCGAATGTCATGATGCCACATAACATTTTGGGTTCAAGAAGACTGCGGCTAATCTGCTGCAGCGGTTCTGGTGGCCCATATTGATGAGAGATGCTAAGTTGTACGTGGAGACTTGTCAGGTCTGTTAGAGGGACAAGCCACGTACTCAGGCTCCTCTTGGGCTCCTGAAGCCCCTCCGATTCCGGAAAGGCCTGGTGAGAGCCTGTCCATGGACTTCATGAATACGCTGGTCACCAGCAAGAGTGGAATGCGATACATCTACGCCATTGTGGATAGGTTTAGTAAGTTTGCTAGATTAGTCGCAATGTCGGCAACAACTAAAACGGAGTATGTGATTAAGATGTTCAAAGAGAATTGGGTTAGCGACTTTGGATTACCTAAGTCCATAGTTAGTGATAGGGATGTCCGATTCACAAGTGAGTTGTGGAAAGCAGCAGCTGCAGAGCAAGGCACGCAACTGCAGATGACATCAGGCAATCATCCTGAGGCAAACGGGCAGGCTGAAGAAATGAACCGCGTTGTACAACACCTGCTAAGGCATTACATCAAGCCAAATCAGGCAGATTGGGATGAGAAACTCGCTCTCATCGCAAGTTTGTACACAGCGCAACCGGAGTCAGTCCTAATAGCTTGCTACTGACATTTAGACCCCGACTGCCTCTGGACTTTCTACTACCTGACAATCAGCCGAATGCTGCACCTGGGACTTTAGAGGTTGCTTATCGATATGAGCAGCTGATGCAGCAGGCTGTTGAACAGATGCACAAGGCACAGGCGGTGATGATAGAGTCTGAGAACAAACACCGCCGCCCATCCACATATCAGGTGGGAGAGACAGTCTGGGTCAAGTCCTCAGAACTGGGACAGGAGCACGAAATCTCTCGCAAGCTCATGCCACAGTACGTTGGACCATGGGAGGTATTGGATGTTGTAGGGAATGAACCGGATGGCCCTTCTTATGTCATTCGCATCCCTGGTCACTTACGCACTTACCATGTCTTTCACGCCTCCAAGATTGCACCTTTCAAGGAAACAGATCAGTTTCCTTCTTGACGCTCAATGCTGCCCCCAACCATGGATGGAGAGGTGGACATAGATGACATCGTGGATCACAGGGAGCTGCCCATTTCAAGACCAACAGGTAGAGAACGTCCTCCAAAACCGAAGCTGCAGTACGGAGTTCGGTTCCGACATCGTCTGGATCCAAAGGAGGACCGCTGGTTCACTAGGGAGGAACTCATGCAGACCGCTCCTCAGATCGTAGCTCAATACGAGAAATCTCTGCAGAAGGGAAAGCGCCAGATCATCGAAGACTGAACTTCTCAGAGGACTAGCGAAGTTATGGAGGAGGGAATGCAAGGCTTGTGCCCCTATGAGCCCCTTTTGGGTCTGTGAAGTATCACGTCGGCCGCCCTAAGTGAAGGCAGGCACGACGAGGGCCTGAGGGCCCCTATTTCGGTCACCACGCAACTCAAGGAAATTCAGGTAGTTGCGTAGCGCCAGTTGGTTCAGGCCCTGGGCCGTGTGTGTGAATGTATGGAAAGCAGGCTCTGGGCTGGATACGGGTACTGAGCCAAACACAGGCCAAGGCAGTTGGGTACATGCAACCACCTCAGGCCCAAGGCCTGTTCTCATTTGTGTTGGGCCTCAAGCTACCGGGGCCTACTGGAAGCTTCCTGGGACTGAACGCAGGCAGGCCACTTCGAAATAGCAAAGGGTCTGCCTCCACATTCATGATTCGGGTGCTGGCTGCATGCTGCGCAAGCGCTGCTGCGCTATTTGCTGGCCAGCGCTCACGCGCTCACGGGCGAGCAGGGAAAGAGTAGGCAGCCATAGCCGAGCTGCGCTGCTGTAAGCTGGGTGTGGCGCAGGGTGGTCCTTGGGTGCAAGTGGCATCTGTGTGTTGGGGAACGAGGTTGTGAGTGAGGCGAGAGACATACCTGGTGCTTGAAGCGTGTGACATTGGTCGCTATATGCTCGTACTTCGGGAAAGTTGTTGACGTCATCATTCGGCATTGTAGTCTAGGCTAGATAGGATCTGCCATCAGTAGTCTGGGCGCCGAGCGCCAGTTAGGATATCAACATTGGTTCTTCATTGATGATGATGATGAGACTTTACCAGCATTGTCAATTATGAGCTCTTGGTGTCTTCTTATTTGGTGGAACTCGTGATGCGATTCTGCTGTTGGTTCGAGGTCACAACTATCTGGTCTTGTGTATATGATGCTGTGTGATTGCTGAAGTTCACTATTGCTCATCTTCCTTGCACATTTTTAAAGTTTTTTGAAAGGCCTGCAGTTTGTTTTTCAGAAAAAAAA